GAAAATAATCAAAAATATATGTTTTTTCTATTAAAGCTTGTGTGTTCATTATGCACTAAAACACATTTAGTTGCTTTCGTCTTGCATTATGTGTCATTACCTGAAAAACAATGTAATATAGTTTCTTTTAGGGGTGCAAACGAGCCGAGCCGAGCCCGAGCCTGGTCAGGCTCGGCTCGGGCTCGTTTAAGTTATATGAGGCTCGAGCTTGATCTCGGCTCGATTCGAGCTTTCTTGTACTGAGCTCGGCTCGAGCTCGTAGAGAATTATACAAGCTCGGCTCGGGCTCGAGCTCGACTCGTTTTTCGTTTGATGTGCCTAAATAAGCTTAAGCTCGGCTCGAGCTTGTTAAGAAGCTCGTTTACTAATACCCTAAATCCCTAATTTCCCAAATATATTTTTATTTTAATATATGAAAAAAATAATAGATTATATTATATAAAGGCTCGTTTAGGCTCGCGAGCCTAATCAAGCTTAGTGACATAGGCTCGAGTTCGAGCTCGTTTAATAAACGAGCTTAATATTAAACTCGAGCTCGGCTCGGGCTCGTTTAAAATCGGTTTCGACCCGAGCTTTTAACGATCCGATCTCGAGTAGCTCGCGAGTAGCTTGGCTCGTTTGCACCCCTAGTTTCTTTCATGGCATAATCAATATAATATTTTTTTTTCGTGTTGTTAAGTATATATATAACAACTTGCAGACCTCCTCTCGATGAGTTTAAAAATTATCTTTTTTATTTTTAGAGATGCTCACGAAAAGTTTGATGATAATATGCACGACTAGAAATGACTAGAGACTGATGAACTAAGGTGTTGTTTGTTTTTTCAAAGCAAAAACGCCTGAAGTCTGCAGACCACATCTGCAAACCTCTGCGGCAGAAGAGGTGGACCAAACGGCTGTAATATGTAATAAAAAGTTTGTTTGTTTTTTAACCTCTGCAGACTACTGCAATAAACTGAAATTTTAATACTTCTTTTGGCTATGTACAAAAACACTTTTCTACAATTATAAATAGTTTAAATATTATTAAAAACACTTTATTTTAAAAAGATCAGATTAAATCTTAACTCTATTTTTTCAATAAAAGGCTTCACATTTCATTTTTCACCAAATTGGCCCATTTTGCAATAATCTTGTGGTTTTAAACAACTTTTATTTTAAGATCGCATCCCATAGATTATCATATGAATTGGAAAATTTTACCACAAACTTGAAAGTTGAGTTTAAAATTTGACAAAAGCTAAACAACCAACATCAAGTTATTCACTAATTAATACATATAATAAAATAAAACAATCGCCAATACATGATAAGGTCAAAACATCAACAAATTGTTCCATTCATTCATTATCGTGCGATAAGTGAACATCTTCCACCACACAAACAATGACTTCTTCCTTGAGGGTAAATTTGCCAAAAGCATGGCCATTTTGAAGTAAAAAAACCAATACCCATTCCACAATTAATTCCATCATAGGGATGATATCAACAAGGGTAAAATCGTCCAAGAAGGTCAATTTGAATTGCAGATTCCATTCCACTTCATAGTCTCCCATAACATTACTTTAATTTGACATTGTCTGTAATTTTTCCATTGATTTGCCACCAAAACCATTTCAATCCCTAAGTAATCCAACACATGTTATAGTACCTGCCCTTATGCTTAAGCTAAAACTTCAAGCCATGAAAAACGATTCATCAGAAAACATAAATGATTCAATAGCACTCTGTGATCCCTGATATTAATATTATCAATACAAACTCCTCAATTCCAAAAAGAACCAAAGCATGACCTGTGACTAACTTCTCAATTAATACTAGTCGTTTACTTTAATAGATGATATAAATTAATATAGTCAAACTTATTTCATTCTTTTTTGGAACAAATGGAAAGAAAAGGAAGCTAAATGTGAATCAATAAAATCTAAACACAAAAACTAACCATAATAAAAAAATGTCAAAACATGCATAATCAATCAATTTCAACAAACTTCAATCAATTTCAACAAATAAGCAATAACTTAAATCAATTTCAGAATATGTAAAAAAAAAAAGACATGTCGATGATTCAGAGGGCTGTAAAATCGATTTCAACAACATTTGAATCATAAATCAGAGGGAAAAAAAAAACTTACCTGTCGATGGTAGTGGTTCACGAGGAAGACGACAGATTGCTAAGGCGGCGACGACGAAGGAATGGCTGATGCAGCGATAAGAACTGGTTGTGACGACGACGAGATATCAGGCGAGATGGGAGACGAGATCGATGGAAGAAGGAAGAAGAAGGGTAGCGTATGCGATAGGAATATATGTCCGCTCCTTTTTTTTTTTTTTTTGTTGTTTTAGGTTTAGAGGTGTGGAGAAGTGGTTTAAAGAGGGAAGCTCAATGTTGTATGGCGCAAAGGATGCGCAAAGGTTTTTAAGTTAGAAGACTTTTAAAAAACAAACAGGTGCGATATGGAAAGTGTTGCGCGTGTGCTGCGTCGCGCAACAATAAGTGGTTTAAAGAGGTTTTTTACAAAAAAACAAACAACACCTAACTGAATGAGTCTAGACTTTATTTAGGCCAATTCTCTTTGGGATGATTTTGTTGATATGATTATTTTTTTTATTTTATATAAAATATGATAAATTATAACTAAAGACCAAATTATCCCAAAATCTTGTCATACGTCATAATACAAGATTAGAAGTAGAAACATTTTCATAAGCTCTAACTAGTTTTGTTATCGATAATACATTAATTTCATTTTTTCCCTAAAGAGCTACCACTCAAATCTCGATCTTGCCATGATGCTTGCCACTGTTTATCATAAAAAGTAGCCTCATCCGCTAGATTCTTGAGATCCTGTATAGACTTGGTCTGTCTAAACAGAACTACACCAATGACTGTCGCCAATAAACATATCTTGCATATGAAATTACCACTTTGTCCCACCACATCGAGCCCAGTCAAAACATCCACAAGATAAGCCATAAAGAACCCAATCATTGCCGCCCGACCTACATACACAAATGTAAATACCTCAAATAGATTGATCTCTTAAAAACAGAGTGAAATGCTCCTTAATTTGTGTTGTGGATGTGCCCATGTAGGATATCCGGGTTAATTAAATTAAGTACAAAAAGATCAATTAGCAAATATAATGGGGACCGGACTAACCATTTAGCAACTCAGCCTCAGGAAGGTGAGAATGTGTGATCCAAGCCCACCAGGGTATAATGGAGCTTCTAAATACCACAGGGTCTTCATTTGTTGCCATTTCCGGATGCAGTTCAAGAGACTTTCTCCTACTAGCTTCTGCAAACCCAAAAAAGTTTCACATTTGCTTTTTAAGTAGAACAAGATAAGAAAGAACCAAACCATTTTCTATTATGATTGACATAGAGACTCATGTTAATAGATAAAAATTACGATTTTTTGTCTTATTTGAAAAAGGTGACATAACGTGGGACATGAATATCCTTGTCATCGAACATAGAGCCTTATAAGCTAAAATGTTAAATGAACAGAAGGATTGAAACTATTTACCAGCAACAATTAGAGCATCCCAATCCATTTTCCCAGATTTCACAAACATATTCAAATCCCATGTCCCGTGTTTCCATCGCTCGTCAGTGAACTTGATGCTACAAGTTTCTGTCAAATCATCACCATTCTCAAGTACTCCATTAATGTTGCTCTGGTTTTGTTCTTGAGGTGGGTTTAGAGGCTTTTGGGCTTCAACATTAAGAGATACGAATGTAGCTGCCTGCTTACTTCCTAAGGAGCGGGTGGGAGTGGTTCCTACATCTTTGGTGGTGAGGTGAGGGGAGGAGCTGCAAGCTCTGTGCATTGCAGCATTGATGCCAATAGAAGCCATGGATATTGGATAGCTGCTGCAAAATCCTGTCTCGCATTATATTATCATTATTTTCTGTTTATTTATTAGAATTGCTTTATATAAAATATAAATAAAAGATGTATTGTAGCCCATAACATGAAGCACAAGAATTAAAAAAAGCTTATCTCCACGTTATGGAAGGCTTTTGTCATGTATCTTTTATTATCTTCATCCATTTTTGTTTTGGTTAGAATAAATTAAATATTTTTGTTTTTGTAAAAGGGTAAATGTTTCAAATACTACTAACAAACAACAATACTCAGGGGCTGTTTGGTAGGATCTGAATTTTTAAGATGTCTGAATTTCTAAGAGGGTCTGAATTTTTAAGATCTGAATTTTAACATGTTGTTTGGTTGGAAGCTCTGAATTAATGTGCTGAATTATAAAAATGACTATTTTACCCTTATCTATTATTTTGTGCCAAATTCAATTGTTTTATGTTCATAAAATAACCAAACAACTTGAATAATTATAAAAATATATATTTAAACACCATACAAAATCCAAATCAAACAAAAAACCAAATAAACATAAATAATTGACAAATCTATCCAACTATAGCAATCATTGTTTTGGAAGACATTGCTTTAACTAAACAGATTTTTCAATAAACAATGCTCTAATAGGAAGAGGTGAAATTATAATGATATAATAAAGAAATCAACAAAAATCTATGCCTATAGTATTTAATACACTAGATGTTTCACCTCACAAAAATCCTGGATTATATAAGCTTTCGTTAAGCTTTCCAAAGGCCTGCTCTTTTTGAAGGAGTTTTTTGGCTTATCATACGACTCATATCAACTATATATTCTTGCAATCAGTTGTATTGTATAATTACAAATTCCTCTACATCTGGGGCATTTCCAATCAGCCGATGCCACAGCTTCTTCCGCATTCTCTCCATATCAACAAAATCCAAACCCTAAATCCCCTCAATCAACAAAATCCAAACCCTAAATCCCCTCAATCTCTCATATCCATAAACGCAAACACGGTAAATAAACTGATCAATCAACAAGTAGGTCAAATTAAACAAAGATCGCCTGTTTAGAAGACATGCTTGACATACATTGAGTGGGCATTGCTTCTTGTTATCGCCCTGGTTGGTGCAGGTCACCAAAAAGTCCATGGTTTTCTGTCGACACTGACCACAAAACACATATTTTAATCTCTAGATTGCCAAGAAAACATGGATCTTTTTGTGGAAAAACAGTCAAACACACACATTGCATGGAGCCATGGAGTGGTACCTGGTGAAAAGTTTTTCCATTTTTGGAATCGTAGATTCTGTTACCAACGACGCGAACACCTGGAGATTTTGTGCGTTTGGGAGTTGAAGAAGAAGAAGAAGGATTAAGTTGATTTTTTCTGGGTGTTTGGGGGCGAGTTGACTCATCCTAAATCGGCTTCGGCTTCCAATCTAAAATCAAAATCATGATGTTATTCACATAATCAGTAACGTGAGATATCAGAATTTGAATCAAAGCATCTAATTTATAGAGAATCGGATGTCAAACCTTGAAATCGATTGCATATGTCAAACCTCGAAATCGATTGCAGATGTCAAACCTCGAAATCAATTGCTCCAGACATCAAATCATGAAATCGATTGCTCCAGGGCGATGGTTGTGGGGGAAGACAGAAGCGATGAAGGGAGGAAGAATCAGGGTTCTTAAATATATTACATAAAATCGATTTGAGAAAAAATCTTACCTGATGTTGTTATCTCCGGGTTTTGAAGAAGCTGGAGGCAAAGGGGGTTGGCGGCGGTGACCGGACCGGAGGGCGGACGGTGGAGGCCGAAGGTGTGCATGTCAAGAGAAGAAGGTGGAGACGGAAGTCTATACGTGAGTAGAAGGAACGGTGGGCAAAAAAGGAACACGGTCTCTTATTTTTTTTCAGACTTCACTCTATATTTGAAATATTAAGAGGTTTTTTAAAAATTAAGAGGCAAAAAATAATAGACTATCAAACGTTTTATATCTGAATTTTTAAGAGGTTATCTTTTAATTTTTTCAATTAAGAGGTAAACAAACAGGCCTCACACTTATAGCTGAGAGATTAATTATCAATGTTGACATCCATATCCTAAAGACGATAAACATGAAAAAGTAAATAAAAAGAACGTGTAAAACACCTAAAGCAGTCGACTTTTATAATTAGCTACTAATGTGTTATGAAATTGTAATTCTGGTTATTAGGTTAGATTCCTTGACACTTTGTCTCAACTAAATGTCAATTCTCGAAGTTCAAAGAGTAGACAATACAAGGTCAATGTTTTATTATATCATTCTAATGATATGTTGGAATCAAAGTGTGTTCATGCTTATCGCTAGATGATTACTGTTTTTTGCCAAAACAAAACTTAATAATAAGTTTTCATTCAATACAAAATTAAAATTAAATTACATTTAGTGAGATACATATAAACAAAATATCCGTTTTTTAAAAATCATTTCCTGTCAAACAATGGTGTGGAAATGTGGAAGAAAACGAGCTTTGTATGAAATATGGATCAACTACACATATAAAGATTATCCCACATCGTCAGGTGGAATAAAGAGAAAAGGAGGGGAAGCTCAATAAAAAGGGAAAGAGGCGCACGGAGAAGGTACTTACCTGGATGGGGTCAATGGGTGGTCAAGATGGCCCATGGCCTAGGCTAGTGACTTCCATTGCACTTTGGAAGGGTGCTAATCTAAGGTCGGCCCAAGTGGTCGAGCCTACATCATAATTTGTGCCAGTGGGGGCCTGCGTTCGCGCGGCCCCTGCCCAATTATACAGTTAAGTTTTCTTCACATCAGATCTGTTGTGCTAAATTAAGATAATTTAAAGTCCAACGAAATAAAGAAATGATGTAATTGATATTTACAAATTAGTTCATTAAATCTGTTCATTTAATAATATTATGGTAAAACATGTCAAACTAACAACTTATCTCCGACAGGGAGTTGAAATTCAAATGGACTCTTAGTCGTTTCGTTATTTATACTACAACGAATATATTTGGGTAACACTTGGCGTTACACATTTTTAATGTAATGAGAGCGATCATAACTTCAAATTCATTAAAAAATTATCACATTGCTAAACACGAACTAAATCCATGTAAGTCCCTAATCTGCTTGTGTATCAATCAGATCCGTTTGATGGTGCGGAATCCCAATCAAACGGATGATGTCAGATCAAAAAGAAGAAAAGAGGAAGAAGAATATGATGAATCTTGTATGTATTGATATGAATGAAGATCCGGATACAAGATTCACACACACTAACACACACTCTCTTTTCTCTCTCTCTAGAACACCTTCAAATACACACTTAAGTTCCTATAGTGTTCATCAATCTATTCCTCACACCCCTCACCCCTATATATACTCGACTGGGCCGGCCTTGAGTTTACGGCCGTAAACGGAGTTTACGGTCGTAAACACCCATTGGGCCGTAAACAGAGTTTACGGTCGTAAACACCCATTGGGCCGTAAACAGAGTTTACGGTCGTAAACCTGTTTACGGCCGTAAACCTGACCGTAAACACATATAATATTACAGAAAATTACAATCAACTAGAAAAGCAAAGTATAAACCATATTTTTGACCCAACAATCTCCCCCTTGGTTTATAGCTTTCTTTTCTTTTCTCAAATGACCCAACAAGCTCCCCCTAAAAAGTAGCTGGCTTTCTTGATAATCTTCATTAGGAGCTTTGGCTTCAGCTTTAATCTTCGAATTATTCACAGCATCAAGATGAATATATGAATCTTCCATGAATGACTTCATCTTGAGCAGTTGGGCTTTTCTTCAGAATTTGGCTTTGAACGCACGTTGGGTGAGGAGGCTTCTTGATAAGATTCTTGAAAGATGGCGCTTTCAGCTTGAGAATCTTCAGAGAGAATATCAGAGAGAACTAAACTTCTAGATCACTTCAGCAGGTTTAAGATAGCAACAGACTGATTGAGGAGGCTTCAATGCAATCCGTCACATAATCTTCAATTGCAGCTTCACCTTGCTTCTGGGGTTGAAAGAATGAATGTCGAAAGAATAATCTTCATTTCTTGCTCCTTCGAATGAGAATTCTTCGATGCTCACGGATGAAACTTTGATTCAGAAATCTTCAACACAAACTCCATGAGTTTCATCTTCACCTGAATTCACTATTCAAGACAAAACAAAACTAAAAGAAAATTTAACACACAATATTTTTTGGGTTTTTTCATATTTTCTGAACAATAAATAAAACAGAAATAACACTATTTTTTTTTTTTTTTCAAATTTTTGTTTGTTTTTTTTTTTTTTAAATTTTTAATTCTCGCCTAATATTTAAATTAGAAGAAAACTATGAACAAATTTAACAAAAATAAAATGATATCTAACTTTAAGAGTGATTTGGGATCAAAGTTTTTAGACAGCCTTAATCCACTTGTCGGTACCTTCTATCTTCAAGTCTTTGTCTGGTCGATCGCCGGTATTGTTGTCCACTTAAACACGAAAAATTGTGACAGATTTAGGACATACTATTTGTTATAAGACAAGGTGAACCTAAGTTCCTAGATATTAAATCTGATCCTAAGTTCCTAGATACTATATCTTAAGGACCATTCAGCTGACGACGACCAGAGATATTGTTGTCCACCTAAATTGAGCAGCGAGATCTATAGACAATCTTTGAATGTTCAATTGTTAATTGTACTGGAACATGTTTCCCGCTTCCGGATATGCCCCAGTAATCAAGGACTTCCAGAGTACTCCTTACATCGGGTGAGCAGACAATCATTAAGAGAGAAGATAGATTCAGATTATTGTTAATTATAATTTTAGAGGGATTGAGAAGTAGAAGGTTGCATATGCTGTGTATCAGGTCGGATTATGAGTCACGCAAAGGAGACAGCATATGGCTAACAGATAGGAGGAATTTCATAGATATAATTTGCAGAGAAATAGATTTGCATATGTTGCATTCCAGGTCGGATCTCTTCCAATCACGTAAAGGAGGCAACATATGACTGACAGATAAGAAGAGAAAGAAAACAATTTTCTACAGACCTAACTCATCGGAATTTACCAGTCGCCCCATCAATACCGGAATTAAGGACAAAATCCGCACATCGAGGAAAAGTTAATCCACGGTTCCAAGTACGGGTTCATTTAATGTGACGAGTAGATTCTCATATATATCTCCCTGCTCAACCTAACCAAGCGTCGTATTGTCAGGCTAAACGGATTTAACTAGGTCAAAATTTGTCAAGTCTATGAATTCCTTAAGTTCATTAATGCCTAGTCAAGTCCATTTATAATCTTTCGTGCCTACCGACGCATCAGCCCAGAGTAAAGACCCTTCAATTTTGGGTACGTTACGCAGACTCAGATTGTGACAACCGTCAAATTTCGCTCAAGTCAAAGTCAAACAAAGTCAACAAGTCAAACCGGTCAACTCCATTAACCCTTGTATGTTAGGGTTTACATTATACAATTCGCTATTTCAATGAGAAAACATCATTTGAAAAATTCATGTGTTTGATTTTCCTTAGCCTTAACAGTGCTAAACAACAAACCAAAGCGATAAAACACTATTGCACAATCATCGGGATTGTGTAAGACACTAAATCATGGCTTAACGGGGTTTATGGACCTTTCGTTGCGAAGCCGGACACTCAAAAAGATCACAAACGAAACCTCTCACAATCTCTTTCACTCAACCTCTCTCTATTAAAATCTCTCCCAAATCTCTCCCGAATCTCTCCCAAATCTCTCTCAAAAGTTCCTTTAATTTTTTGTAATCATTCGGGCCATCCCGACCCTTAACTGGGTCAAAAACCACTTGAAACGGGGTAAAAACGGGTAAAATAGGCTTAAGGACCCAAAACTGAAGCTTCAGGACCGAAGTCCCTGTCATAAAGGAAGACGACACACATTTATCTGTCGTAACCTTACGACTCGCGTGTTGATGACACGCAATGAGTATCAAGGAAGCCCCTGTCATAAAAGAAGACGACATGCATGTTTGCGTGTCATAATTTTCCGGTTTTTCGACTACGACTTCGTTTTAACTCCGTTTTTCATTATTTTAACGTGGGATTTTCACCCAAAACTTTATTTTATAAACTAAGGCCCCAAAATATATAAATCTCCAGGGTTTTTATAAAAATGTATTAAAAGAATTGGTGGTTGGACTAATTATTGAGGGAATATTTGTTTTTCCTTATTTTATGACAAAAGCAAGCCACCACCACCTCACTCTATGATCATCCACTCTTTCCCACTACTCCTTGTCACCTTAGTGGACCTTTACACTCAATCTCCAGCTCTTCCCATGTTCTAAGAGCTGGAGGATTGATCCTCTCTCCTCATTCTCCATAAAGTTCTTTCATTCTACACTTAGCAACCAAAGGACACTCTCCAAAATTCTCTCATCTTTTCTCTCAATTTCAAGAACTTCAAGGCTTTCTCCAGGGATTTCTTCCTTCAATTAGTAAGTATCTTCATCATTCACATAATTATTAAACTCCATTCTACTCAAATCATTGATATCTTACACAAATTCCATCTTATTCGGTGTTAGATTCTCGAATCATCAAGATATCTTCTTAGTGTTCTTGGGTTGAACACTTCCTCTATCTCACTTTCATCTACTGAAATCACATAAGGTGAGTTCATGCCCCTACATTTACATGTTTTTCTTAAGTTTTAAGGGGGGAATACAAGTAAAATCATCAAGAACACAATTAAACTTTTTCTAACAGATTACATCAGAAAAGATGGACGTTAATCACGGACTGTTTTGGTCAACTTAAATATTTTAGTTTTCAAAACTGTT